TGATACATCCCTTTACAAGATTTGGCAGAAAAATAGCATTCTGGTTAAAAAACATTTAAAAAAATACTTATATGGATATTATTTTCATAATCCTAATTACTTTTTAGACTTTGCCACAGGATAGAAATGAAGAGGATGAAGCAGAAAATTTAAATGAGGACCGTCCGGGTTCCTCTGGAATGCAATCTGAATCTGATCAAGGAACTCGGGAAGATGTGACAGAAAACGTAAGTAAAACTTTTATTTTAAAATGCCATAATTCTAAATTTTTAATATCTTTTTAGTTACCACCCTCTGAAGATAATCACGAAAGAGATAAACCAGAGAACATTGAAACTAAGTACCTAGATGATTCAACGCTAGAAGAAGAAAAACTAGAGTCATCAGAAACTGAAATAACGAAGGTCATCCCTCATTTGACACCTCCAAAAAATCACCTTGCAAGTTTTGAGAAACAAAAACCTGCAAGTACCAAAAACTATTCCATCTCCATTCAAGAGAATACTTTTTTGGCCAGAAGAAAACCCACATCTAACAAAAAAGTTAAAGGGAAAAGTTACCTTCAGTATTAACATCAGCTCAGGCTCTCTCATATTATAAAAAAAAAGAGGAAGTAAAACAGAAGAAGCTGGAAGAACAAACCAAAAGAAAAGAAGACAGATCAAGAAAAAACAACAGGAATAAAGAGAAGTTGGAAGAAACAAAAAGTTGAAGATCAGAAAAAGAACAAAAGAAAGGAAATTAAAAAATCCAAAATAGAAGAAGATAGTGAATCTTCAACAGCAGAGTCACTTTCAATAAGTAGTAGCGAGTCTTCACAGTGGGATGAAGATTTTGAAGAGGAAGTCAATGATATTTCAATTGAGCCAGTTTCTCTTGAAGCTATTGTTGAAGGCGACTTCATACTCTGCGAATTTGTTGGAGGAAAACGAAACCAAAGTTTGTTTATGTGTTGTACAAGAAAAGAGCGATTTTGTGCAAATGATGGGACTCAAATCAACGGACAAAGATAAAAAACAGTTTGTACTAAATAAAAATGATATTTCCTCGGTTACCAATGACCAAGTGATTGGCAAAGTGCCTCAACCAGAAATTTTGAGTAGCGGAAAGAGAATAAGTTAGCTCTTTAAAACGTCATTACCAGTCGAAGAAATTTAGGATTATTTCAGCACTAGGCCAATTTCATAGGCTAATGTTTTCTTTTCACAGCTATTAGTGTTAATTATTTTAAGAATACTTGTCTTTTTTTTACCAAATAAAATATAAATACAATAGGTGTATATGTAATTTTTTGGTAAAGTTGCTATGTCATCTATTGGCACATATTCATTTATGGGTGTCATCTATGGGTGCATATGTTATATATTTTTTCAGAATATTTTTTAATTTTAACTCAAGTTTGAATTGTTACTTCTCTTAAGCAAGATTCAATCTAAACATTTATAAGCAAATTTGTAAATTTGGTGTCAGAATGTATAAAATATGATTTTTTCCCAATTTTTTTCTCTTAAGACTGTCATCTATTGGTCATTTTACCTTAGTCGGTTGTTAAATTTGGTGACAGTGGTGGGAGTTGAGTCCCAATCTCCATCAATTACTGGTTGTCAACAGATTGTCAACAATAAGTCGTGGACTAAACAGCAAATAAATAGATACATTTGTTGTGGAATAATATCTTTCCTTTTTGAATAAACAAAATTACAAAAATTCTTTATAAGTACCTCTTGTTATTTATAGTTTTCTGTAGAGTGAATACCAAGTATTATTACATGTTTTTTAAAATAACTTTGCAACTAGACGAGTGAATGAGCTCCTTTTTTTTAGCAAAAATTAGTTGAGTTTCAGACTTAGTTTCTAATTCTTACTTTAGGTACAAACAGATCAATATCAGTGTATATTGTTTAAAATTATTTTTTTTTCCAATAATTATTAAATATATTCCAATGTATACTAGTTAAGAAGTTAAACCAAGGGTCATGGCACTACTTATGGCCACCTTAAGGCAAAAATGCTTTTGTGGAGTCTGTTTTTCAATAATATTGTAACAGAAAAAATAAATAGGAATACTATTTGATAGTTTAAAGTATGTAGTTTTCAACAGTATATGTATCTATTTTGTTAAAAGCATGTAATTATTTTTACATTTTGTTTTTATAAAAGTGAAAGAAATTCTTTATTTTTGGCCATTAGTCCGCCACTAGTTCTTTACTTGTGGCCACTAATTTTTAAGTTGCATTTTTAAATATTAATTTAAGTGCATGTTAATATTTTAATTTACATGTATGTACCAAGTAGTGATTTAGAATAGGTAGGGTGTAACAAATTAACATTTTTTGCTAAAATATGAAATTATTTTTCATGAACATTAAAGGTAACAGAAACCGAGACCGACTTCAAGCTCAAACTGACAGCGAAGGAGACCGAAAATGGTCTCTAAAAGTCTGAACACATGTTATTAAATGAAACACATTTGGGAAGGCGCGACCGATGAGAGCACTTTTAGTACGATAGGATTTGCTGCTTGCTGCCTGCCACTTGAAGTCCGTATTGGTCTCGCCTTCCCAAATGGTACCTTAACAATTCCTAAAAATGTTATAACCAATTTTCAACCTTCTTCTACTAGAGAATGCTCAGTTAACAGTCCTAAAACATCAGATATGGGAACAGCGGAAATTTCATTTTCAATATATATCCAAAAATAGTTTTTTCTCTGTGCCTTTTAAGCACTAGATTCCTATTTCATTTTCCATAGTTTGGCGAACAACATATTTATACACAGTTGATCTTCTTTTGCCACAAGCATTAAATTATACCAATATAAAGTCACCCGGTTTTAATGTTTTGCCTAACTTCATAATTACTGCTGGTTCTATATCTGAGAAACTGCCACTGCTGTCAGATGCCAGTGACATTTTATCTTCTTAGCTAAAAAACTCCAACAACTCACACAATAACTGTAGTAAAAGATTTTACTTTTAGCCACTCTTGAGGCCATAACTCACGAATTCTTAATTTCTTGTCATTACTAGTGGCCACACAGATATTTATTTTTATTTAAAAAAAAATATGATTTTGAAAACAAAATACATTGGGTATTAACATCTACTTACCTTTGGAATGGAAAGTTTTTAAAAATATCCTTAATAAATCTGAGTTTTGTTCCAATGTTTACAGATAAATTCTTAGCCAAAACAACAAGTAATGCTTGCATGTATTACACATGCTAACTATTTATTTAACTGATTTCCAATGGACTTGGTTTATTAGTTGCAAACCTGCCCAATCATGTAACCACATGCTCATTTACCTTCTCCAACTATCATTTTTGTTAACAATGTTGCCAAACGTTTATTTTTAGGTCTTAAAGCAAGAAGTGGCCATACGTAGGGTAGTGGCTATAAATAGTGCCATGACCCTACCGTCACACTTTCAACAACTTAAAACATCAAACCACAAAATAAGTTAGTGTTTCATTATGTGCATCAAACACATAAAAAATTCTAAACATCAAAAATTCCAAAGCCTCCCAAACATTAAATTTAATAATTGCAGAGGATATTGATCGAACATTTAAATGATAATTTATCTTTCAATTAGATACTGTTTAATAAAAAAATTAAGATCATGGTGTGTCATGCTCTCACAAATAGTAGAAACATCAACAACTATTAACATTAAATAATTTTTAAAAAATAGATGTACTTCTTCAACCTTAAGTTTCCTAATATATAAAGGAAATAAAATTATAAAAAGGCAGAACATATAGTGGTTAGGGCTTGTATTACTCTTATTGAAATTATAACTTAAAAAGTCCTTTCTAAAGGGGTAATTTCTTCAAAAATTGTTGAATTACTTAATAACTAAAGCTGAGTGACACGAATCACAAGCCTATGTGAGTCACGAGCTATATCAACAGATGTAGGTACTTATTTTTGATTTTAGTAAAAGCTAAATCTAACATTACATTATGACAATTTTTAATTGTGTTCACTTGGTACAAATTATGAACAGTGAATGTGTCACAAATTGTTTGGACACTGTTGTATTGTATTGAAACTCCCAAATCATCATTTTCCCACTCAATTTTTGGCAAGTTATAGTCAAAGTTATATTCACCTACCAATATACCTTTTCCAATTTCTTTCAAGTATTGCATGAACTTTGGCACAGTGATTCTCAAAAGGATCTATTTTACAAATAAGTCTTCAACATTAGTAGCATAAGATAAGTTTACTTGATAATATGGTTTTATGAACACAAATCATTACCCCACCTCCTCGTAACTTTGTGTCTACTTGTTTTACATATGAGTTGGATTATTGTTTTTGTTTAATCTCGATTGTCAATTTTTGCCATTTTATGAGCAACAGTCAATATTATATTATAAAACCGTTTTTGTTTGAGAATAAGAACCATTCTGATTAAAAGATTCATATTTTTGTACATTTGTAGTTTGACTAATAAAGTTACAATATGGACATTTTATTAAAATTTCATCCACTTGCAGAAATATTAGGAGTGATTAAATAAAAATAAACTTCAAAACTATTACTATACAACGACAAATAAGTTGCATTATTTCTCTATAAAACCAGGCAGTGTGCATACAGATCTATTACTGATCTACTCACAGAGGATCTCAAAATATTGATCTTGATCACAAAACAGGACCAGTAATCTACTAATTTTGAAACATGGATGTTAGTAACCCCAGGTAAATGACCATGTATTCATAATCTTTCTACTCTTAGTAAGGTTATCGAAAATGTCTAAAGTGCAGGTGTACCAAAGACCTTTGTTGTCCTGTTTCGTTTCATTTCATTGTAACTTTTATGGAAAATGAATGTAAAAATGTTCCTTCATTTATATGAAATGAAATATCCTGTCTTATCAGTAAATATGTGACATTTCCCTTTGAAAATTATTAAACCCTTATTAACAAATGATTTAAACTATTAAACCCTTATTAACAAATGTTTTAAACTACTAAAACATGTTACCTCTCAAATTTCTTTGTTGTGGTTTTGGCTTCAAACGAATTTTGGTCTTTTTTATCTTTTTAGAAACAGAATCAGAATCGCTGTCACTATCATTAGACTGTAATTCCTCTTCGCTTTCTGAAGGAGGGTCTACTGGAAGTCGAGGCATTGGTTGAGTGGTTGAATAGTTTTGCGGTCTTTCTAAGGGAGTGTAACACTCGTCTCCAGAGTCATGCGAAAGCTGAAATAGGAAACATACTCGGTAAGTTGTCGGTCAAGCAGTTAAATAATTTATTAATTACTTCGCCATCTTCAAGAACAACTTCATCCTGTTCCATTGTCAATTTATTAATTCGTTTTACCACAAATCACTTCCCTACCCGCAACCAATAAACAAACCTAACCTTCACAATATTTTTGACAATTTTTTTTCTTCTGTTTTTATCTTCTTTTATCTGTTGGCCTCTTGCTTTTCAGCATTCAGCCAAAAATATTTTTATGAGTAGGTAAAGGGTGAGATTACAGAACGTCTGCAACTTTGTATGGCGGCAACTTTGCAGATCTGCAAATATGGCGGACAGATGCAAGTATCCAAAAAATATCTGCAAATTCGCAATATTTATTACCCCTAACAACACAGGCCCGTATTTATAAACAGAACTTACCTGAGTCGGACTTGGGTAAGTCGTCCTTGAACTAAAATCGAAGTTCGGTTATATTGCGTGAATTTAGAGATGGGTAGTAACAAATCCGTAAATGTACATAACAGTTACAGATTTGTTAATATCAATGAACTGGAGTGGGGTAGAAAGCCAATGTGCATATTGTATCAATAAAACAAGATGCGACTCTATGGGTGCAGCCATTTTTATTTCTCATCTCACTCGGGAGTATTTATAATAACCATTTTCTGTTTCACATTGTTATTGTTCAATCCACAAGCTGGTGGATCAGACAATAACAAAGTGAAATAGAAAATGGTTGTTATAAATACTCCCGAGTGAGATGAAAAATAACCTGTCTTTGCCCATAGAGTCGCATGTCAAGCCTATTGACAAGCATTCTACCCCACTCCAGTTCATTGGTTAATATCCATCTCTAAATTCCAGTGTAACACCGGAACCACCTGGAACTTTAGAGACGTTGTAACCGAACCTCCGAGCAATTACTACTCGGAGAACCGAACTTCGATTTTAGTTCAAGGACGACTTACCCAAGTCCGACTCACGTAAGTTCTGTTTATAAATACGGGCCTAAATCCAAATCCACCCTTAAAAAAGTTAGAACATCCTACAACCATGAAGTCTTCTGTTTCTTTTGATTGAATACAGTTAGTTCATCGTGTCAGATTATCGAGTTTTTAAACATAGTAATGGATTTGGGTTTAGTGTTGTTGGGAGTAATAAACCACAATAAATATTGCGAATTTGCAGATCTTTTTTGGAATACGAAAACTTGATACATGTAAGTCCGCCATATTTGCAGATCTGCAAAGTTGCCGCCATATTTGCAGATCTGCAAAGTTGCAGACGTTCTGTAATCTAATCCAAACTCGGCATCTAACGGGCGAAAAAACCGCAGATCCTTAACTTGAATTTCCATAATAGCGGCACAGATTCAGAGCCAGCTGGTTTTTCGTAACTTTTTTGTTACGCCAGTCTCCCTTTTGTAGCTTGTATCTAACTTGTACTGAGCAGGAGAAAATCGTGGATCCGCTTAATCCGCTAGCTTAGCCGATATATGTATAGCGGCACTAGCTTGGGCTTGTCTCATTTTTTGTAACTTTTTAGTACCTAGCTTTTTTTTGTTACGCCGGTCTCGACTTTGTTGCGGGAACTGAGCATGAGAGAAGTTAAAATCAATTTTCGGCCAAAATCTAAGGCCAAAAATAACAACAGAATGCTGTAATCTGTGTTAATACCGTAGTCGCTTATGTTTTTATTTTTGGCCGAAAAATAATTTGTTCTTTCTATCACACTTTAATGAAAGCGTGGTTTTTAAAAATATTCAATTTTTATATAATTATTTTCTCTTTTTTTAGTAGGTATATAATAATATCGTATAATGGGGTCTATTCTGTAACAATTCCTTTGGAGTCTATTCTGTAACAATTCCTTTATATTTAACGGCCTTTAAAAATATTTTCTTCTTTACTTCTGTCATTATTTAAACGAATCTTTAAAATACATTAGAGGACTATCTTAAAGAAATCTGTTTAAATAATGACAGAAGTAAATTAACGAATACGAACATATTTTTAAAGGCCGCCAATATTTTAAAAGGCCGTTAAATATAAAGGAATTGTTACAGAATAGACCCCATAGGGGTCTATTTTGTTAAAATTCCTTTATATTCAACGGCCTTTAAAAATATTTTCTTCTTTAATTCGGTCACTATTTAAACGGATCTCTAAAATACATTAGAGGACTATCTTAAAGAAATCTGTTTAAATAATGATAGAAGTAAATTAACGAATACGAACATATTTTTATAGGCCGCCAATATTTTTAAAGGCCGTTAAATATAAAGGAATTGTTACAGAATAGACCCCATAATCCGTTAAAATATTGGCGGCCTTTAAAAATATTTTCGTATATGCTAATTTACTTCTGTCATTATTTTAACGGATTTCTTTAAGATAGTTCTCTAATGTATTATAAAGGAATCCGTTTAAATAATGAGAAGTAATTTAGTAAATATGAAAATATTTTTAAAGGCCTCCAATATTTTAACAGCCGTTAAAATATAAAGGAATTGTTACAGAATAGACCCCATAGGGGTCTATTCTGTAACAATTCCTTTATATTTAACGGCATTTAAAAATATTGGCGGCCTTTAAAAGTATATTTGTATTCGTTAATTTACTTCTATCATTATTTAAACAGATTTCTTTAAGATAGTCCTCTAATGTATTTTAAAGATCCGTTTAAATAGTGACCGAATTAAAGAAGAAAATATTTTTAAAGGCCGTTAAATATAAAGGAATTTTTACAGAATAGACCCCATAAACGGTATATTTCAAACATGTATCACCATCATAATTTTCACCTAATCTATGATCATATAATATACGCGCACATCGAAAGTGTGACCATTTGTTAATAGACAGCGCCAGTATTGCACATCACGAATTATGGCCATCTTACATCCAGTATATTTTTTGAGAAATTTAGATTTTTCCCAATATAGGATAGGTGAAATAGAGTGAGAACAAATTCAAAATAATTCAACACATTTGTTCAAAACCTTGTAAATACTGCCTAACCATTATTAAAAATTGTAAATAATACACGAATATTTTAAATCAACAAAAGTTAAAATACAAAAACTTTAAATTACTCAAAAATATATTGGATGGAAGATGGCCATAATCCGTAAAATACAACCTGGCACCATCTATCAACAAATAGCCTTACTATCGAAATGCACCTATTATAACATAGATAGTGCTACATGTTTGAAATAGATTATTCCTACTAAAGCAAGAAAAAAATTATGTACTAGGTAAATACCCAGCTAGCACATAACGTCATAGAACAACTACTTTTAGAATGGAAACTGCAATGTTAAAATTCGAGACAGTTTTGTAACGCCCGGTGAGCGTTCTTTGAACTATTTGGCGGAAGTGGCGCCATCTCGCGGTCACTTTAGTTAACATAAAACGCGGGAACATTCAAAATGGTCATTCAATATTTAGTTTAAAAGTGGTAGTCAAATTAAGATTTGTTCATACAAACTCCTTCTTTACGTTTATTGTAGCAATAAAATTATATTTGTTACAATAAAGCAAAAAATGAGTAGTATGAACCAATCCTAACTTGACTACAAGTTGAATTATTTTTACAAAAAATTAAAAAGCATGATCAACAAAATTAATTTATTAAAACAAAAAAAACATACAAAATAGAATAATTAAATGTAGCGTGTTAATTAGCTGGAAAGTTAAGTCATTATCCACAGAGGTTGCTTCCCTCATTAGGCCGTTTTGGCTTCCACGATGCAATTATTCCACTCCAAACGGTTTGAAGAAAGTTCGTACTAGAACAAAATAAAAAACAGTATAAGTAAGAACCTGAATTAAATCAATATAAAAATCAAATGTGTTAGGCAGCAGGGAAAGTGAGGCATGAATACAAAAAGGTGAAGTGACTATTACTTCCCTGATTAGGCCGTTTTGGCTTCCACGATGCAATTCTTCATCTCCTAACGGTTTGAAGAAAGTTATGTGTGTGATTAAATTTAGGTTTCCCTTGGCTACGGATACTAGGTCCATTCGCCTTGAAGAAAGTTCGTACTAGAACAAAATAAAAAAGCAGTATAACAATCTGAATTAAATTAATATAAAAATCAAATGTGTAGACAGCAGGGAAAGTGAGGCATGAATACAAAAAGGTAAAGCGACTATTACTTCCCTGATTAGGCCGTTTTGGCTTCCACGATGCAATTCTTCATCTCCAAATGGTTTGAAGATAGTTCGTACTAGAACAAAATAAAAAAACAGTATTCGCTCCGTGCGAAGTCATGGAAAGGGAAGCAAAAGCGATACTAGCGCTAGCTGCGGATAATTCGTGCATTTTAGGGGGATATTTTGTAATTTTGGCATATCAAATACACGTATACATTTTACTTTTTTTCAAAAAAGTAGGTAAAAACAACACAATAAGCAACCGGAGTTGCTGTGTTGAAAATTGTACAAATACTAGCAAAAAAAAACAGTAAAACTTATATAACAAATTTCACTAACAAAGTGGAAATTAAATCAAAGAAATAAATGGATAGGTGTACAATAAGAAGAAAAATTACCTTTATTTTTGTGATAATAACAGTAATGTTGGAAATAGTAGACATCAGAAACTAGAAAGTTTTTAAATAAACAATAAATTATCATTTTACGATGTTCTTTAATATCCCTTTATTCTTAAATGTTCATTCAGCAAGGACTAGATTTCAAGATTTCTGCCGTTGATTATAATATTTGGCTGGTATGCAATTTTGTGACTTACTGATCGGAAACCAGTTTTAATCATTCATTCTATATGTTTTCTTTAGAACAAAAATGAAAATATAAGTAGCGATCCTTTTTATACATTTTAACTTCACGCTATTATAAATGGTTTCTTCAATGACAACTTATTAGACTTAGGCAACTTCTCATACATTTTCCAGTAAATACTGTTGCCTGCCTATATTTTATTATTGATTTTTAATGATTATACATAATTTTCTTCAATTTAAGCGTAAAAAATATATAATAATAATAAATTAATGTTTTAATTGTTTTATAAATCCATATACTTTTATTAAAACTAACATATATACTTTTTATTTACGAATTCTATTAAAAATTGTATTTGTCAGTATAGGCAGAAATACTCCTTTAATACCAAAACAAATTGGCGCTGCTGTCGCGCACAGAGCGAATAAGTAACAATCTGAATTAAATTAATATAAAAATTTAAAAACATAGTAAGCATTACCAAGAGAATAAAAAATAAAACAAGGTCCCACAACATGAACGACTTACACAAAACGGCATTTCGTAA